TTTTTCAATATATTTCAGGACGCCTATGAGTGGGGGGAGGGCTCTATCGTGCAATTTTTTCAGGAGGAACTTCCTACTTAGTTGTTGTTTGAATCCCAAAAAGCACCACTCCTTTCCTATTTTCCTACTGCTTCACGTATTTTACTCAGCACCATCCAGTTTGAATTCTTTGGAATGCCAGGACTTCCCCAAAGAATCAAATTCATTGCTTTAGCCAGGATGAAACACATCACCCAAACAATCTTTCCAGGGGGTAGCCCGTGAACCACTGAGGAACTGATTGACAGGTTGTTTCGGGGTGCCCAGGACCTTCTTGGATCTTGGATAATTGTTGTTGAATCCCTTTACCCACCATTTCTTGACTATAACTGGTGTACCTTGCTTAGCACCATTCGTCTTCAAGCCTTAGAATGCCAAGCTTAACAAACAAACAGAACGAAAGAACAAAGGACAAGTTGAAAGAGGGGAAGAAAGGGAAGAACAAACAAGAAGCAAAGAGCAAGAAAAAAACGACAAAAGAACAAAGGGAGAAAGACAGGATGAACGGAAAGAAAGCCAGCAAGAAAAAATGAAGAAAGGAAGAACGAAAGATAAAATTAAAGACTGAAAGAAAGAAGAACGTGGTCCTATACTATCTGAAATTACTCCTCGAAGATCCGCACAGATCCTCTCATCACCCATGAGCCCCGCAAAGGAAAATGACTTGAGCGTAGATTTAATTGAATTTAAAACCTTTAGATTCATGACCTTAGCAGCTCCAGCACGCAGCACGCGCAACGCTGAGTGCTAGCACGCAGGTTCGTCACGCAGTGGGTTTTTAGCATTGTGATATATGTAAATGCATTTAACTAGATCCGAAAAAAAAAAAAAACCTTACAAATTTTGGACCTTAAAGGGCTAGTAAATCGCAAGTTCGAAACGCATTGTTTTTTTTTATCCTATTCATACCTCGGTGAATTTACTTTTCTGTGAAAAAAACATCCGGTAACCTGCGAATTTCTGCCTGACGTCCGGATGCATTTTGGGGTTTCCCCGTTTCCTCCAAAAGGGTAAATTCTTTCAGGGTGTTGAAAAAATCAACGCCACTTGGAGGTACTCGTGTGGCTCTCGTGAATGTGATGAGTATCTCATGATATCTCATGCTTATCGTCACTTCAATGCATTTTTCCCTATTCCAATAGAAGCCTCCACTATCTAAATCAAGATAAACATATCTACTAGGATGCACACCCGGAAAAGTGAGTGCTGAGCACGCGAGTGCTGGCACGCGAGTGCTGAGTGCCAGCACGCGAGTGAGAAAAACAGCTTTAAGTTCATTACCCTTGGTTTCCCAAGCCTGGTCCCCCGAAAAAAAGACATCAGTATAGAGTATCCCTCATTTGTTTTGGGTCACACTAGTCAGCATCCAACATTAGCACCACAGGTACACAAGGGTGTGGCAAAGACCGGACCAAAGGAACAACGCAACTGGCGCAGCTCAGCCAGCGGCTTCAGCGAAAAACAGCTGGGAGGTAAGCCATTCACCTTGGGCCCCAGTCGAAAGCGGTGGAGCTTTGGGAAAGCGTCTGGCGTCAGCTCGTAGCCCGGCGTCACAAAGCTGTGGCAGTGAAAGGAAGATGGTTCAGACTCCAAACGATTGGAGCTATACGCATAGTTGCCTGGGACAAGGAAAGCCTTCAAGATGGATGGTTCATAATGGAAAATCCATCTATAAATGGATGATTTGGGGGTAACCCCCATGAATCGGGAAAGCTCCATGAGGCCTGACACCTGACGCTTCACCTGTCTACTGAGCAGCAGGAATCTTCATCAGCAAACATAATCCAATTGTACGAAGGGACAAACTAAATACGTCATGGATTGGATGCTATATCTGGTTGTTTCAGGCACTTTCTTTGCATGAAACCCACCTCTTTATTCCAGAATGAACTCCAACTGGGAGGGCCTTGAAATTGGTGACCATTCATGATAATTTATGGTGTATCATGCTTACCATCATTTCAAATCATGTTCCCTTAACTGTTAGCATGGCAGTTTTCGGTAACATGTCCCACATCTGAGACGCAAACTTGGATTTGCTTGAGGGACCATGACAATGAAAAGGTAAATTCCCAATGGCTGGCGGATTAATCAATCGGCAAGAAAACAAACCTCGAGTCAGCCCAGGTTTGTCATAATTTTCCCTATATTATATACCTCATTTTCAGACAAACATACAAGGCGGGGCTCCTTAGACACCTAAGTTGCAGCTTAAGTATGGTCTATGGTGAATATAGTGAATATATGTGAATATATCTATAGTGAATGGTTTTTTCCTCAACACCAACAAAACTGGTGGTGGCTGAAACCCAAGTGGCACATATCCAGGTGCAGCATGCATCGCCCATCCTCGCTCTCCAGCACCGCTGCCAGCCACCAGTGGGGCACTGCTTCGAAGGCTGCACGGCCCAGTGCTCCGAGATCTACCTGGCCGGAGGTTGTGGCCCGGGGGGCCTACTGTTGCGGTGAACCTTGTATGGGATCTATATTATACTATATGGTATATGGGATCTATATGGATCTGTCATGTTTATACTAGAATTGGTAACTCCATGAAGGAAACACTACTCTATAAACTGCTGTTTTTACGATCCTGGACATGTAAACACAGCAGATTTAGAGGAATTACGATGAGTTCCAATGATATACAACAACACATAACATGATAAACTCATAGCATAGTATAACAACCAGGAACTATATCACACTTTGTTGCAGTGCAGTCTTGAACATTTGCATTAATTTGCCAACATTTGGAGGTTTTCCAAAATTGGGGGGTACCCAGCAATAGATAGGGTTATAAAATATAACCTTTAGATTATAATGGAAATACAGTGGATATGTTCATATATGTTCTTATATATTTACATATTCTTATAGAAATGGATTATTTACCCTCTGGTAATTTAACGTAGCAATTTAAAATTGCCATTTATAGTGGATTTTCCCATTACAAAAATTGTGATTTTCCATAGTTATGTTAGTTTACCAGATGGTATGTGAGGTATTTTCAGGATTTTTCAGGTGTCAAACCACCTATTTCAGGAAACCTCCGTCCCTCTTGGCCACCTTGGGCGAGGCCAAACCCAAAGCTCGCCATGCTGCATTGCCATCATAGCTGGCAGCCGTGTTCAGCACTGGGAGCCTCGTCGTCAACACATGGCTGGCTGAGGTTTTTCCCCGTGGGAAATGGATATTTTTCACGGGAAAGTCATAGGATAAAGGGGGATTTAATGGTGATTTCATGATGGTTTAATGGGATTTTATGGGACTTAATGGGACTTAATGGGATTTATATGGATTTATGGGGTCTACCCTCCTGGTACTGTAATTTGTTGCATAGCCTAGATGGCCCATAGAAAGTTCGTAATTTTTCATATTAAAATTAAAGATGGTGATTTTCCATAGCTATGTTAGTTTACCAGGGAAGGTAATTGGGGGATGTGCCAGCCAGCCATGTTTGATTACCAGAGGGTAGCACTACATATATCCAACACTTGTGGCTCTCGAATGGTCTTGAAAGGTGTACCCATCCTCACGAGATCAAATCAATTACATTTTTTTGAATCTGTACACGTACGTAGAAAATGAGGCAATGCAAAATGAAAATGGGTACTGTATATCATGTGTTTTTGGTTTTTCTAGATATTCCATGATGCTGAAATATTATGAAATATTTCCAACAGTTACCCCAACAATCACCCATGTATGCAAGAGCGTCAAGGATATCCATACGAAACAACTTGTTGATTCCTTCATCCGCTGGCCTTGCTCCAGACAGTTTCTCCACTAAGATGAGCTCGTCCAAATCCCGGATATCCAGCAGTGTGTTGAGAACCAACAAATTCACCTCGAGCAAAGCTGGGGCCCGGAAGTGCCCGGTGAGGTCAGAGCCTAGAAGATCCTCCATCCATAGTTTCCCACGGAAACATATCGATGAATATAACGATTTTCATGCATTTTCCATGCTCATGTTTGTTCACAAGAGGGTAGCCTTCTCTGGGGTTGCCTCTGACTTCTTTACAATTGCTACTGGCTACCGTTTGGGGCAATAACAGTCAAAGCAAACCATGGTAAACCACTACAGCTAAATTAAATCTATACAAATAAACCCATTCAATCAATAAACTGAGTTAATAACAATTTCTTACTTTACCATGTTAGTTGATAACCATGGTTAATACGCCCCCGTTTCCTGGCTTACCATGCTGGCCAGGCACTACCCGGCAGCCCTGGTGCTGGAGCGTGGCATGGTCGGCCATCTCCTGCCGCGGGGCGTCAGAAAGGGTAACTAAGTAACAACTTTACATGATTGGCAATGGGATTTTATGGGTGAACGCCTCACTTGCGACACCGTTTTTTTCTAGGTTTTTCGCCTCACTTGCGATCATGACATGGGTTGGGATGGGGGTGGGGTCGGGCTGGGATGGGGTGGAAGCTGCTCCATGACAGCAATACATATCACAAGCATATATATTATATATTTAAAAAAACATAGCAGATCTGCAGCGCAATCTCTACTGCATGTTCTTGTAAACTAGAACGGCACTGCCCCACCCCACAGCACGTCCCTAGAGGAGATAAACCCGTGCTTTGCATATCTCCGATGTAGAAGGTCTAGAGCGTTGCAGCACTGCAGCATAGCATCGAGCGCATGATATGCCAATATGCAAGACACATTAGATGCCGGCCAAAGATGACTTTAACTGGAAGCAAGGCCAAAAGCGGCGTCACAAGCGAGGCAAAAGGCGGCGTCACAAGCGTTCGCCAAAATGTATGGAAATAAATCTACATATATGGTTGTATGTTGATGTATTTTATGGGATTTTAGATGTCGATTGTTAAATTGCAATTTGTTGGGAATTCACTTGTTCATGAAGTCAATTCAATAATTTGAAGGACCACTTAGAAAATATGAATTCTTGGGAACCAAGATTTCATCACCATTTCGATATGGCAGTGTGTCAAAACCAATAGTACCCCTTGTAGTTCACATCAAAATAGTTGGGACTTATGGATGTTCATCCCCCTAAAAAATGGTATGTTTATAGGTTTTATAGGTATTGATCCATACCCATATCTTTTGATCGCCGTAGAATGGCATGTCTTGAACTGTTGTCACAGCTTGTCACTGACCCGACCCGCCAGACCTGTCCTTCAAGGTCAAGGCCAAAGCCAAGGTACACGAATCGCATGAGCTGCTGCAAGTAATCCGCCAATATAAATCCTGCTGAACATATTAGGATGGATCATTGATCATTGATGATCATTGTTGGACTAGATATGGCAGTGTGTCAAAACCTTGTACCCCTGGTGAACATCAAAATAGCTGGTAAATGGATGTTCATCCCACTAAAAATGGTATTAATAGGTATTGATCCGTACCCATATCTTGGAATATCAAGTTTAGATTTGACAGTGACAGTTTTCCTTATCTCCAAATGTTGCCATCTTTGCAGGAAACCTCTGCAAGATTCACAGTGTTGCGGTGATGACTGGGTTGGATCCCGGGCTGTTGATGTGTCTGTTTCGGATCTGTTCAACATGGGAACGACCACGAAAACGCATCCGATGAAACTGGAACTAACTTCTCAAACGCTCTGAAATGATCCTTCCTATACCCATACGATCCATGGTGCTGCTATATATGGTAACATGGATCCCATCAATATACACCCAATGTTAGCATATATATATATACCATACATGGATCCTATGGGATAGATGATTAGGTGATCTCAAACGCTATTAAATTGTCATAAATGATCTAAAGCTCGGTGGTTTAAGGAACTCCCCTGTGTTTATCCAAGTTTCGCCCTGCCGGTTCCTCAACCTTGCTGGGTCAGCTCTCCTGCATCTCTGCGAAGGATAACTCACAGTTGCTGGGCCAAAACTCATCCAGCGACATACTTCCAGGCATCGCTTCGACCTGTAAAGCGGGCTTTAAGCTAACGACAATCCCTAAATCCATTGGATGATCCCGTTTCCCATGGAAAAATAGCTATAACTGGGGGCATACCTGGCATTTTCAGAGCAAAAAAATCACTGATTCCCTATGCTTCAACGTGCTGGGACGAACAGATTTTTGTTTAAACAGATCCAGCCAAACCCAGTAGAGCAACCAGGTATTTCAGTACAGTCATTTTGGCAGACCTGGTTGGAATATGTTGGAATGCTTTCCTGGTGGCAACTCATAATCTTCTGTGATTCTGAATCGGGGATAATTTTTGCGGCAACCCCCGCAACTCCGCACAGGAATTGTCGACCACTCCTCAACTGGCAATGTAGTGGGAGCATGATCCTAGAATGGGGTTCCATCAATGGTGGTACTCCCATAGCTGGATGGTTTATAATGGACAATTCCAAGATAAAAATGATAATTTGGGGGAAAGGAAACTACTTTAGGAAACCCCCATATCTGGACAAATCATAATAATTCTCTCTGACCTGAAATAGGGCTATATTGGGATGATTCCCCGATACATTCACCATGATTCCAGTGAGTTCACAGTAAGGTCAGTATAATTTGCCCAAATATGGGGTGTGTGTGTGTATGTATATAAATATATATGATTATATATGTATGTATAATATATATAATCTTTGAAAGCACCAGCCAGGTAAGACTTTCTCAATCCAACGTCTCCTCCTCACCCCCCCCGCTACCTCAATGACGTGCGGCACATTGGTTCCCTCCAAGACTTTGCTCGCGCGGAATCTGGGACCACGGTCCAAGGACTCGGCTACCTGGCCACCAAAGAAGGGATCCAACTATAATGCCTAGGAGTTCAAACATATCACATGTTTGTTTCAAAAACTATTACTATAACATACTATATAACTTATATAACTATCCAATTATTTATAACTATTACTATGGCATCCTATAACTATCTATAAGTATTACTATAGCATACTATAACAATCTGTAACTATATTAGTATAGCTATAAATTAAGGTATTGTTGTTACTAGGAGTATCACTGTTATTGCTACGATTTCTATTGTTGTGACGTACTATTAACCACCCATCCAATTGGTTGCATAGTTAGTCAGTGTCCACCATGTTGGCTGTTATTGCTTGCGTAGTATTCCCCCAAAACTATGACTTCATGACACCCCAACTTGCACATGGATCATTCAACAAAAAAACATACATATCTGGTTGATGGTATACCTACCCCTCTGAAAAATATAAGTTCGTCAGTTGGGATTATGAAATTCCCAACTATGGAACAATAAAATATGTTCCAAACCAACCACAACACTGTACTACTCATCGAGTGCGACTTCTCCAACTGGAGGACCCAACATTTTTTTTCTGGGACCTGAATCGCTGCCATTTCGGAAAGTCGCCTGCATCAGCACGTCCATCAATTCCACTCTGTTGACCCACGGAGCCTGTGCCGCCGCCTGGCGAATGACTTTGATGGATGGTATCGGTGGGATGATGGTACCATTCCCGGCGATGTGAGAAATTTCTATTGGGACCATGTGGGACCTGAGATAGCCGGGAAATGCAATGGAAATGCCGGGAATCGGTTTTTGTTGAGCTCTGAGTTGGCTTCAAACAACATCATTTTCAATGGATTCTTGGTGGCAAGAAACTCAACATGTCCATGCTCCATTTGGGATGAGCTGGGGGATGAAAAAAATCCTCAAAAGAACAGCATTCAACGGGATTCATCGGCCAGTTCGGTTGCTATGTATCATCCAAATATTGGGCAGATCACCACTGGGGGTGCTTCATCCGACACTTTTTGCTGGTTACAGCATTTGTCCTGCAAATTTGCTGTTATGAAATCTTCCCAAATTGGTTTGTCTGAAGAATAGGGTAACCCCTAATTCGCATATGTGTATTTCCAAAATTGCCATTGATTGTCTGGACCCCTCAATTCTTGGACAAACCCAAATGATCCCAAATTGTATGTGTCTTAAAATGTATACCCCAAATCCTCTTGTTGATCATCAACTTTCTGATGACATGGTCATTTCATGGGTAATACCGTAATAATTACCCTGTATACCCCATTCTCAGACACACCCAAATGAATCAGCAAGGCCTCGGCCAGGTCGGTTAGATGCGTCTCAACCAGCAGTGCTTGACCCTTGCAGTGGATGCTGACCCAACCTTCGCCACTTGGCGGTGGACTCGGCAATGGAGTTCAAATATGGGGAACTTATAGCAACCCCAAAAAGAGATGGAAAAGAAAATTCCTACTGAAGTAGTGGCATAATGTGGGATATTGTCTTTCTATCCTTTTTGGGCTACTATACAAACAGAAAAGATGATATTAAAACATATATAGCTAGAATTTGGCCGTTCAATTCTATGGGGAAAAAAATGGGCGTGGTTCAAAACATGGGATACTAGGGGAATTACAGCACTGAATCATACTGGTTGGTGGTTTCAACCATCTTGAAAAATATGAGTTCGTCAATGGGAAGGATTGTCCCATATATCATGGAAAATAAAAAAATGATCCAAATCACCAACCAGATCCAACCAGCATACTATCACTACTGTACCATCCAGGACCATCCATGTTTTGTGGCGCCGCCACTTGGAGACAATCAATTCTATTGCAAACTGGGATGCATTGCTGTTGTAGGTTCTATAATCTGGGTCGCCCTTCCCAAATCGTGTCCCAAACAAATAGCCCCAAAAGAATCCACTTCGTAGATTGGCCATGGATTTAGTTAACTGGTTACACTAAGAGCTGGCTCTCAGCCCCTGGTAACTTTAAACCCATAAAATATCCCAGTTCTAAAAGGGGGGGTCATTCAAGTAAAATATCCAGGTCGCGACTCCATCCTCCCAGCAGCATCGCTTCCCAGCCTTCAGCAGGTCCAACGCCGAACAGCAAGGAGTATCGCAATCTACCCTCTGTGAGTTCCAATTCCTGGACCACCTGAGTTGCGAACCAAAAAAACACTTTAAAAACCACCTTATTGATCATGTTCACCTCATCAAGCCCTGACTTGGGAGACGAAACTTGCAACAGGTACTGCTTTGAAGAAGTTTCTATATCAAACATTTTGGAGTGTTCCACTATTCTTTAGAAAGGAAAAAGCATTCTTTGAGACATCTCCAAAGACTGTCTGGCAGGCAAGCATCTCCATTAAGTGGCTGTAGTTGCTTCCGTTTGTTGATCCCAATTTCAACAAATGTTTCTATGCCACACTTGAGTAAGATCTCAATTTCCGGAGTTTTCATGGGTTTCAAGCCCACTAAGACTCTGTTTAATGTGTTTTTGGCACTTCAAACCTTGAGGGCCACGATAGTCTCAATACAACAAACCAAATAACTTTCCGAATCCAAGAGATCGATGCTTTTGGGTCCATACTAGTTGCATATACCCTCTGGTGAACTAACATAGCAATGGAAAATGGCCATTTATAGTGGATTTTCCCATGAAAAATGGGTGGATCTTTCCATTGCTATGTTAGTTCACCAGAGGGTATTTGCGATCATCCCACTTGCAGTCAGTGGCCATGCCCTGTCATGAATGTTTTTTTTCTTTTTTTTCACACATGGTACAACTTGTCAATCACCGACCTGGCCATCCAGGCTACTCTCGATTCCGGTTTGAATGGTCTCGAAACTATTTTTTTTCAAAATGAACCACTGATAAAATCCCCATTGTTCCCCTCATTTCATGGTCAACTGATTCTACATCAGAGTTTTTTCTTGATCCCCCATTTGCAATCCACCATTTTTGATCCGTATAGCAACCCCCAGAAAGATAGAACATGTTGAAATCATCGCTATTTCACTAGGATTTTACCAACTTCTATCTTTTTTGGGGTTGCTATTATACGCATGTTTTTATCAAACCCAACCAAATTCCAGCTCTGGAGTACGATGATTTCATGCTGGGCGAAGATGTTCTCAGATTGAAGAACAGGGGGTTGCTATAAATATCTCATCATTATCTAGTTGTAAATATCATTAAAAACATCTATCAATCCTAACCAGCAAAAACACGTATAAGATACAACGTGTTAGTTACATGTGGCAGTGTGTCAAAACCAATAGTACCCCTATAGTTCACATCAAAATAGCTGGGATTTATGGATGTTCATCCCCCTAAAAAATAGTATTTTTATAGGTATTGTATTGATCCATAGCCATATCTTTTGATAGCTGTAGAATGGAATGTGTTGAAATAACATTTACCATCAATATACCCCAAATGTTGGCATATATACCAGCACCATGGATCCTATGGGTGTTACAACATGTTACAACACCATTGGTGTTTCGTGTGGCCGCTGCTGCCACCGGCACCGAGCCATGCCTCAGGCGCTCCGCACAGGCCGTGGAGCTCAAGGCCCGCTGCTGCCGCACCAGGAGGCCATTGGAGGCACCGCCGGTGACCCGGTAGGTGCGACCCATGGCCAGACATGGCGCGGAACGGGAACCCTGGAGGTTTGGGCACAGTTGAGATGGGAAGAACGTGAGGATTTTTCATAAACATCTTGAGAAACTAATGATGGAAACTAATGATGGAAACATCATTGAAACTAATGTGAGAAAAATATGATAGAAACTAATGAGCATCATTGAACGCCTTAAGGGATGTGATATGTTGTGATTGAGGACATTTTGATACATATGATAAAGATAAACATGAACAGAATGAAGCACATTCTAGCACTGTCACCACCATTGCCAACGATGATTTTAATCGATTCATATATGATAGATAAGAATAGTGGGAAGACAATAGCGCAAACTGTGGAGAGGCTCAATTCTTTCAGGGGCACTTCCTAGAGATTCGATGGAGCCAGAAAGCAAAGCAAATGGATGGGGTTTTCCATCAATGGGGGTACCCCAAAATGGATGGTTTATAATGGAAATCCATCTATAAATGGATGATTTGGGGGTACACCCGTTTTAGGAACCTCAGCATCTTTGCTGTTTGGACGCACTGACTGAAGCGAATTGCATCTAAAACTTGCGTCCACTCCCTCTCTCTCTCTCTCTCTCAGTTTGGGCATGAGCCCGAATGGGCGCCCATCGCCGAACGAAATTGGATAGTCTAGAAATCCGTTTTTCCCAATATTTAATACCATCCTGGAAAGTATGTTTTAATTCTGGGCTATCTTCGGTTAATTGTTCTTTAGGATCCATGGGCGGTATCTTAATCTTGAAGGGATTGGATTACATACTATATTATGACAGGCAAACCCATTCAAAAAAAAGTGGTTCCCAGGGCCAAACATCAAATGTTTGAAAAAGGCTGTGAGTGACAAATGGTTCGTCGTCGGATTCCCAATAATGAAAATGACAATGATTATTATTATCTGTTGCAATAGACCGACCATTTTTGTGAAAAGGTAAAGAATTAATATAAGCAATATCCCACTAAGACTATCGACTTCCCAAATCGCCTGGTGAATCATCATGTTTCACCAGTTGTGGAAATATTCACGATGATCAATGGATTGGTTTAAGGGATTTTAAGGGAATATTGAAACCGAAAAGCACCATGAAATTCATGGGAAAATCGATGGTTTCCGGTTAAGATTTTCCCTTAAACCAATCCATTGAGAATTCCCATAGAATTCCCATAGATTTCCCATATTTCCATTGTTTTGCCATATGTTTTCCCTATGGAAAAAAATGCCCTCCAATTTTGAACACACGCAAACAATTACGCTGGGTCTCCGAACTTTGGCCAAAGTTGCCTCAGCGAAAAAAGCCAAATTCCAAGGAAACCTGCAGCGACCTCCTCAATAGATAGAGCATGTATATATAATTATATATGGAATCAATTATAGATAGATCATGATAGATCGATAAGTAATGACAGGTAATCCTACTGAAATAGTGGTAAAGTCTGTGTGTGTGTTTCTTTTGTTGATTAGTATAATGTTCGGGTATCTTTGGTATAGTTTCTGCATAGACATCAGCATTTATATCGATTTATATTTTAAAAAAATGGTGGGGTTTCTACTCAAACTTCTTTAACAAGGACGTTCAAGATCCTTCTTTAGCAAGAACGTTTAGTCATGGTGGTTGAACCACAACTGCTTGTTGGCGTCCTCCTCTAAGCAAATCAATGCCTTGATCATGGGCATTGGCAATATTGATGGAGTCTTCAAGAGTGAAACAAACGGACAGAAAACATTGCCAATCTCAAAAAATACTCTGCAAATAAACATGTTTTTTTGCTGGTTAGTATTTGTCGCAACTTTCAATAAAAATGGAAAAGTAAAATCCTACTGAAACAGTGTTGAAATCCCGGTTCTATCTGTCCTTATTGATTACTGTATCCCTATGCACAATGACTGCGAAGAATATCATGAGAGCACATGACATATGGATTTATCATGATTTTAGTTGAAAATCTGATGCCCCCATGTGCGGCCATCGGGGGAATAATGAACAATCATCAACAAGCGGATTTGCTGGTACACTTGGTATACAGTACCACATCTTCAAACAAACCCATACAGGATGCGCAACTTCTTGACAGTGAAACAAGCATAGTTTTTGGCAGGTTCAATAAACGCTTCAGAAGCACCTAGTAGTCTAGTAGTGGTTCTTAGTGGCTAATCAGACCTCGATTGACACCACCGGCCAGGTGAAATGGCCCGAAATGGCCAGGGAACGACACGAGCATCTTTCTGAGTAAATTCTCAGGCTTCATGTTCGCCTTGGTTTGGAAACTAGGGGCCAATTTCATGCTGATCTTTCAGCAGGACATCCTGTTCCCATAATCAAATCAAGCAACATCAACCAGCATCAACCAGCCAAGCCAAGGTTTTAATAGTTTGTAGCATCTATACGCAGGTGCCCATGGTATCCCATGGTTGCATTTCCAGGCTCAAACTCAACACCTGTCCTTTAAGATTAATCGACAGGTCTTGGAGGCTGTCTGAGTGCTTCTGCTTAGACTGCAACCGCGGGGGGGGTTGGATTTTGGGAACCTCCTGAAGCATTCCCCCAAAAGAAGGATAAAACACATTCAAATGTTTTTTGCCGGCATTGGAAACCCACCTGAAAAGGTACACATAGAATCAAACAAATGCCATAGCAGAAAGTTATTGAAATGGCCGCTACCACGGATGACAACTTTTTTGCTCTCGAATTCAAACCGTGCTACACAGGATGCTTCGTGGATAGTTCATCTTACGATTCTATGAGAGAAACTCACATCATTCCTCTGGGGAGGTACAATACAGTGTCCTTGGTTGTGCTGATGCTCCCATTATGATATCCATTCACTTAAAACCAGGGATCTAGTCACAAAACAACAAACAAATCCAAATTTTCCCATGTTGAATTGTGAGTCACCCAAAAAACTAGAGAAAAACATCACTAGACACGGTCACAAAAGTATGTATGGAAGCAGCTGTCTTGATTTCAAGTTGTCCCCAAAATATGTGTGTAAAATCATTTGGGAAATGGTCCAAAGTTCAAGGGTGCATTTCTGCAAACCCAGCTGAGGGATCATTATCCTCAACCATCAGGGTTTCATGTGCCAAGTGGTTTCATCCGGGTATCATCGCAGAAGTGCGGGGTAAAACCCAATCGTAGGCGGTTAATAACCCTTATCCATTGGCAAATTCCATATATTCCATCTATCTTCCAACATGTTTTCCATATATATATTGTATATTGTATATATATATATTGTATATTATATATATATGTAGAGCCGATGATATTTTATTAAATCCCCTAGACCCTTTGTGAAACTATAGCCGCAGCCACTGTTCACTGGGGTCATTTTCCCAAAATCTTAAGTCATAGGCGATCCCCAGTCGTCACCATGTTTGTTTCAATTTACGAGGCATCATGGTCATCCATGACGACTGGATGATTTTAAGGGATGCATTGATGCATTTCAAGAAACCTTCATAGAAGTGTATTAGTCATGATTGGTCATGATTAGTCCAATTACCATCTGGTTATTTAACATAGCCATGGAAAATGGCCCATTTATAGATGGTTTACCTGGGTTTACCTATTAAAAATGGTGATTTTCCATGGCTATGTTAAATAACCAGAGGGTAAATGTCTGTGACGGTTCCAAAGGCTTCTGTGTATCCCCGGTCCTGGTTTCGGATTGGAGTTGTGGATCCAGTGGCTTCAATAATCCCAACTGGAGATATATCTCCACTATCCATAGAACATCATAAAACTGTAGCCGTCATTGCGGCATGTTGAAACTATTTCAACATATTTCAACCACTGAATCTAAATTCCAACAGTTGGCCTAGCCATTCAAAATCAAATTTTATTATTCATTGCTTAAGTATGATGTAAATTAAATAAGCGGAGAATCTTGTTTTTTAAAGGTTAAACATGGTTAAACCACATAAAACCACCATTGTTGACATGGAAATCATCGCTATCTTATTGGTGCTCAGTAGGGGATGGGGGAATGTGGGGGAATGATCCATAACTAATGACGATCATCCCATTCCCCCATTCCCTACTAAGCACCAGCAAATTATTTCATATGGAATGGTTCACGGGAAAAAATTAACCGGAAACCATCGATTTTCCCATGACATATGGAAATTTCCTGTATTTTTTCCCTTAAACCAATCCATTGATCATCGTGGATATTACCACAACTGGTGAAACATGATGATTCAGCAGTCCATTTGGGAAGTCAATAGTCTTAGTGGGATATTGCCATTGCTTATATTACCATATATAATAAAAAGGATTTCAACCAACGGATCCCTGCTTCCGCGTCACATCCTCCGCGGCCTTGATCAGCTCGCCGCTTTTGCGGCGCAGCGTGCGCAAGAGCGCCAGCCTCGCTGGTTGCCACCATGATGGATCAGAAATGGTCACCGTTCAACGGGACATATAATATAATATTATATAATATTAAATTATATATCATATCATATTATATTATATACATATAATATAATATATATATATATATATAATATGGATATAATATAATATGGATATAATATAGATCTGAAAGGGCATCATTTTATAGGTATATACATCCCATAATGGGATTATTGCAACCATACTGGTATATATGGGATAATCATGGGGATATAAACTGTTTGATATATTTCATGTCATTTGCCTAAACCCTGATTAATGATTCATCATGGTAGAATGTTGACAATCCTGTGTTGATAATAAATCATCATAAATGATAAACCAGGTTGTATTGAGCCCCTATGATGATCATACTATGATGACTGATCAACAAAGATTTGCGGCTCCAAATGCTCCTAGAATGGCTGAAACAAGATGCATCCCACGAACCCGAATGCTCACACGTATGATAATGGTACGGATTCCGAAGCGCGATTCAGCAAAAACACGCAAGATGACTTGTTTAAAATGATGCTGATGCGCCTGCCAGGCAAACAAAGAAAGTGATCACGTTCAAAATGATGCGCCAGCCACGACACATGCAGGTCATCGTCTGGACACCTCGCACAAGTATCGCGTCTGTCACACGAAGCTACTTTCGACACGATGTGCAGACACGAATGTCACGATGTGCAGACACAAATGTCACGATGTAAAGTGAGAAATGTAAAGTGTAAAGTGGGGAGTGTAAAGTGTAAAGTGTGGAGTGTGGAGTGTGAAGTGTGGAGTGTAAAGTGTGGAGTGTGGAGTGTAAAGTGTGGAGTGTGGAGTGTAAAGTGTAGAATGTGGAGTGTGGAGTGTGGAGTGTAAAGTGTGGAGTTCGAAGTGTAAAGTGTAGAATGTGGAGTGTAAAGAGTGGAGTGTAAAGAGTGGAGTGTCGCGTGTAGAGTGTGGAGTGTCGAATGTGGAGTGTAAAGTGTGAAGTGCAAAGCGTGGAGTGGAAAGTGTAAAGTGTGGAGTGTGGAGTGTAAAGTGTCGAGTGTGGAGTGTGGAGTGTAGAGCGTGGAGATTGGACTGTACAGTGTAGAGTGTGGAGCGTGAAGTGTGGAGTG